TTCCAATAATAATTTTAGTAAATTACCAATCTTAAACTGTAAATATTGTAAAATTCATTGCAAAACCAATTTTTTTATTAAAACTAATTTCTAAAAAATAAATATTGGGCCTTACCCAGAAAACTCATTTGTTATTTTCATTTATAAACACAATATTGTAATTTATTATACTTTCTTAATAGCGTTTTTTATTTTTTTAGAAATGTAATTTCTAAATTTAATATTAACAAGTTTTTTGTATTGATTAATTTTCTTTAAACAGTAGTTACCTACTTATGTAAATATCATTATTTACCTATAGGTACTAACTTTTCCCTCCTGGTGGATTGAATATTATTTCATTGTTATAGGTAGACTGTAGGCAGAATAATTATACAGCCTGTAACCATGACTGTATTTAGGGGTGGCAACAGGAGGCTGTCCTGGGTGGCTGGTTTTGAGGAGGCAGCTAATATTATTTTTAATAATTGTCATAACTGTGATCCACTTATAACTTAATTTGGTTATTCTCTACTTTAAATATTATATTTTTTATCAGTTAGCCGTATTAAATATCGGGAACGTTCTAATATCCACCATCAATTATGATAATATAATTAAAGAATTTTCTGAAGCACAATAAAGGAAGAAAATTACATTTTTCTAATTTTAATTTTCTTAACATATAATTGTTATTATAAAAGTTGTTTAAGACTAACACTTTTTATTTTTTATAATTAGGCTTTTTTGGCCGCTGGGTGGCTAATTCCTAATTTGAGCCCTGCCTGTAACTATAATTCCATATTTGAATTTCCATATTAACGTTGAAATATAAACGTTCCATAAATTTGAGCCGGTAAAACAGACAACAAGCAACCTCTATATTATATTACTATAGATATATTTTTAAGATGGAAAGATAAATTAATTGTATTTAGTTAACATTAGTATATTTATTTTATGACTGTGTACCTACAACAGTTTTCTGAATAGAATAAGTGACCAAAAAGATTCATAAAATAGCTCTTATTGTCTTTTTTTTTTGTTATAAATGAATGGTACTCCAAATTATTAATAATATATTAATTATAATAAGTGTTAATCCAAGGGTTTGTAAAAAATACATTTGTTATATTACAGTTGTTAATACAACGATTATAGGTACCGGGGTTAGTGAAATATGACAATTTGTTCAACAGTATCAATGCAAAGGCCAGTGTTGTTTTTAAAATAAATATATACATTATAAATACATATACTGATACTGCTGAATTAATTGTGTACCTACTTTATATACTTATCACCATATTATTATAATATAACCGCCCATCGTAATAAAACAAAAACGATTAACTTAAACGTATTAATATAAAATAAACAGTTCACATTTAATTTATACGACATCGTTGATTCGTTGATGTTCAAAATGTTGTTTAATTAATGTTTACATGATTTTAACTGTTGGTATCTGTTACGCAGTCGTAATCATACAACGTGGTCTATCCATTAGCTGGTATCTGGTACTGAATTATTAATGTATCAGTGACAGATTTTAACCGAACAAGGTAAACAGTTTGCTAAAGAGAGTAAACGGGAGTGGGTATGTATTTGAAATGTAGACCACAACCAACACATCATATATACGTGTATGAATCTTGCTAATCTATACTAAGCTGAGAAATAATTGATACTCTAATTAACTTTACTGTTAATTGCAACTTTGTAATGATATAATAAGTGATACAATACTCCAAAAAATTACTACGTCATTGCCAATTATTTACAAATCAAATGGTGTAGGTACCGAAAAGAGTATTGCCTATTTTGTGAAATAATTATGAGAATAAACGACACATGACTTTATGAAGGAATGTGACACCAAATGCATTTACTAATAATATTATATGTTATAATGAAGATAATAAAAAGATGAATGACGTGTATCTATATCGAAAAAAAAATGTTTTATTTTATATTATGATTCAATAAAAACTTAGTAATAATTCAATACATACTTTAATTTAAAATGTCGTTTCTAGATTTTATAAATAGGTATTCAATTCCTTACCGTAGAATGAGGTTACTTTGATCTCGTGGAACTACTTTGATACACTTATATTTTAATTCACATGAGTAAGATGATGAATTAATTTTTCTTTTCATAAAAAACGGACGTTGTGTAACTTTGATAGCATATTAAAAAGATTAATATTTCTGAAGATAATATCAGAAATTTAAAAATTAAAACGTTAAAAAATTGAGCATAACTAGCTGCAACTAAGATTTAATTTTGAGAGTTTTATCGTTAATACCACAGAAGTTATCCATAAAATAAGAACATAGAACAGTAAAAATTATCAAAGTAACCCAATTTTAGTGATTTTACGGTAGTATGTTAACGTAATTTTCACCTGAGATATATTACAAAATAGTTTTGCAATACAAAAGAATCCTTTTAATGAATGAAAATATAAATGTGTACAAGCTATACTATAGATAATGTACAGTATACGGTGTACAAAGTTTTGTGAAGATCGAATTTTATAAACTTTATTTAAACTATTATCAATTCGATAATCTAGTAAAACTTTGAAACACATTCGTACAAAAGACTTACTTCCACAGATTCTTTTAAAGACTCGAAATACCGAAGAATAATGTAACTAAATCCATCAACTTTCTTTCTTACTTTATTTGTTATATAAATTTGATCGTATTTAAATCAATAGTTAATTAAAATAAAGGGGAATTAAGAGTTCTAGACAATAAAATCATTTACAAAAACCGTTCATATATAATCTGTAATATTGAAAACATTTTAAAAATATATTATATAAATACCTAATTATTAATTTCAACATCATATAAAATATATGCAAACTGTATCTAACATATTGTATGGACTACGAACATAATATTGTACATTAAAATTAAATCCAAATATATTGAAAAATAAAAAAATATTATTTTATAAAAACTATTAATTTTTTTTTATTAATATATAGTATTCTACTAATAGGTATGTGATTAAAATTATTTTGACGATAAAATTATTTGTTTTTTAGATTCTGAGTGGTTCGATAAATGTATTGATTTTACAATTATGTGTGTGTTTTTCTTTGTGTGTGTGTGTGTACTCGATAAGTAGTCGAAATAATGCTTTGATTTTCAATTTCAGTATCTTGTTTGATAGGAAATTGAATATTATTGGTGCATTGAGGATGTGCATTTAGTTTTCAAAAGCGCCGGGAAAAACAACATAAAAATGAAGGAAATACGGGAGTTTTTACTGAAAATTGGTTTTCCACAAAACCGATTTTGGTTATTGGTGGAACTCTAAAAAAAAGAACGTATATACATGAAATTTCCCCGGTCGTTTATAGTTGCATTTTCTATAGGCAATACAATTTTCAAAATATTTTGATTTGTTTTGAACTGTTTAGGAACATTTTCTGTTTCCAATTTTATTAGTCTTTTTTTCTATGAATGTCAATAAAACTTTGTTTATTGAATAAAAAAGATTGAAAATTTAATACAAGGCTCCTACTATATTTTTACAATGACATTTGAAAAATATTAAAAATCCTTTGTCACATTTTTTATTTACAAGTATTTAAAGTTCAAATCTTGACAAAATACGAAAAAATCACGAAAATTAGCAAATTATTCTGAGTTAAGAATTTGTAAAAATTTTTCTTTTCAAATCTAAGGTTTTAAAATGTAATAGAAGATTCCTTATAAGATTACCTACCTTTATCAAAAAAAAAAAATGTCTAGGAAAGTCAAATTAAATTTTTATGAGCGTTTGAAATTCAAATTTTTACAACATTGGATATTCACTCGATTTCTCATGTAGCGATTTTCTTATTTTGTTGTGATTCAAAAACGAATAACTGTAGATACATGAAAATTTCACTGAATGTTAATTTATCAATTCTCATACTTGATAAAATTTTCAAAATATTTTGACTTGTTTTGGGCTGTTTACGGACATAGTCAATTTTCAATATTTTTAGTTTTTATTTTCTATAAATATCAATAAAATTTTATTTGTTACGTAAAATAGCGTGATAATTTAATACAAGGCTCCTGATATATTGTTAAAATGGGAGTTGCAAAATATTAAAAATTCATGGGCACATTTTTTTTTTATAAGCATTTAAAGCTAGAATTTTTTACAAAATTTATCAAATTTAAAATGTGATAATTATTTTGTGGTTAAAAATGTATAAAATGTTCAACTTTTATAGCTAAGGGTTGAAATATTGAAAATTTAAAACAAGGTTCCACTTAAATACGTAAATATATAAATGACTTTATTCACAATAATATCATCAAGTAATATACTTAGTAATATCATAGGCTGACTGACCGTTTTCGCTCAGAATCGTTTTTCTTATACAATGATATAATACCATTAAATTCAAATTTAACACCATCCATTACAGTGATCCACTTGTCACCTATACTGTACAGCAGAACGACATCTACTTACCCACTTTTTTTAAATGAAAATATTTAAAAAATATTTAAGATACTTAGTTTTAAACTTAAAAAGACATATTTATAAAATGTTTTAAACTTTGAACAAAATATTAAATTTTACTAAGAGCTTATTTTCCCATGAACTTGTATCAGAATATTTTATCCTATAATACTATTAGGTACATAATTATATTATTACTATGCTGATAATGTAATTAGGGTGTTGAAATTATAATTAATTTTAAGTGTGACTACTTCATAATTTATCACTTTTAGCACCAAGTTCATTATTTCAATATACTTAATTATTAAGTAATTTTTAATTATGACTATGACATACTACCTATACTATTAAATCTATTGAGTTAATTTTTTTCAAAGGAAATTAGATATATTTACACAGTTATTATTTATATTTACAGGTTTTGTAGTTTAAATATTAAATATTTTATGAATAAATATAATTATTAAAAATGCATTTATATTAAATAATCTATAAATTCTAAACACTAAAAATGTTGCATTTATTTGAACAGGTATGGTGACATGGTACCAGAAACAATAGCTGGAAAAATTGTCGGTGGAGTATGTTCACTAAGTGGAGTGCTTGTTATCGCACTACCTGTACCAGTAATTGTGTCTAATTTCAGTCGCATTTACCATCAAAATCAGAGAGCAGATAAAAGAAAAGCTCAAAGAGTAAGTTCTATTTTTCTTTCATAAATTAAATTCTAAATAAATATTAAATATAATCATTATTATTCATTGACTGTTATAAGTTGTAAGTTATAATTTTATGAATAATTCATGATGAAGTACAAAATTGTATTAATAAACCTTTTTAAAAGTTTATGGATTATTATGTGCACCCAAATGAAATAAAACTTTTAAGTGGATGTTACCTAAGATTTCGGTTTTAAGCAGGGCTTGCAAACGTTATAATTGACAAAAAACGATTGAACTTTATAAACTTAATTATAACGGAAAGCAATAATCAAAAATAATTAAATATCGCAAAACAAAACATAGGTAACGATTAACAAAATATTATATTATATATCATTAAACAAAACGTAATTTATAGATTTTCATTGAACCAAAAATAACACAAAATGAAATTATTTAAAATCTATTTATTTAAAAATTATAATGGTTTCGTAGAAATATTTATTTCGTACATACGGACATTAGAATTGATTAGGTATATTATATTCCGTATCCGGGTCATTACCTGCCAGCATTAGTTATTATTTATACATTTAATAGGTATTAACACTATTCTAAATAACGATAATCTCTAAACTTGGATAACGTTTTAATTCTAAATAACGATAAACTCAAAACTTGGATAGCTTTTTAATTCTAAATAACGATAGACGAAAAAAATGTTTAACGTTTTAATTATAAATAACGATAAACGAAAAAATTGTGTAACGTTTTAATAATAAATAACATAAAACGGAATTTTTTTTCAAATCCTGTAAGCGCTGGTTTTAAGTTATAATGGCTTATAAGTTACATATACTTTTAAATTCTTTAAAATTGAAATAACCATTAACCTCCCTCTATGCACGCCACCGGATAGGGGGTTACCGGATACCTAAACAGCAATTTAAGTAGAGATTTAGGGACGGTGACATCACTGTATACAATCTACAACTATCGTCCGTCGTAATTCGTCAATCAATGCACATGAACGACTATAATATCGCAATTTTATGTAAAAATTAATAATTATATCTACTTATTTGTATCGATCATTAAAATTCATACATGTCCAGATATTATTATAGGATAGAGTCTGAAAATCATCTATCAAAATTTTAAATACAAGAACATAATATCATTTTGTAGATACTTACTCAGCTAGGTGAAGAATGTATTGATTTTAAAGATAGGTTTTTTTCTTTTTGGGTCTCATCGTATTTTGGAGCAGTCAACAAAATGCTTGAATTTTCAACTTCAATATCTTTTCTAGTGAGGAAGTTAATCTAGTTAGTACGTGTACTTTAGGAGGTCAAAAGCAAAATATGTACAGTACTTTTTTAATAATCGGAAAAAACAAAACAAAAATATGGGTAGTGGGTTAGGGTAACGGTCTGTTGTACATTTGGTGTCTAGAGAGTCACTCTAATGGATGTGTCAAATTTGTATTCAATGATATAAAATCACTGTAGATATACGAATAACGATTCTGAGTGAAGACGGTCCATCAACCTAAGTATAATATTTCTAAAATCGTAGCACCCACTCATTATTTTTAATTTACAACAAAATAACTAAAATCGTTATTCTTGGCTTTGAATTTTAATATTTAATCTCTTCCTAACTTGAACAAATAAGTATACAAAAAACTGTGTTTTAGATTCTGAGCGGAGCGATGAATGTATTGGTTTTACAATGATGTGTGTTTTTTTTTATATTTTTTTTTGTGTCTGTCATCACGTTTTGGGACAGTAAAAGTGCTTCGATTTTCTTCAATAGTACCTTTTCTGATAGGAAAGTGAATCTAGTTGGTACTTTGGGGGGTCAAAAGTAAACATTTTCCAGTAGTTTTCACAAGCGCCGGGAAAAACAACATAAAAATTAAGGAAAAACGGGAATTTTTACGCAAAATTGATTTTCCAAAAAATCGAATTTGGTTTTTGGTGTAACTTTAAAACAAATGACCGTAGATACATGAAATTTTCACTGGTTGTTTATATTTGCATTTTCTATACACGATAACATTTTCAAAATATTTTGATTTATTTTGAACTGTTTAGGGACATTTTCATTTTTCATTTTTTTTTTGTTATTTTTCTAGAAATATCAATAAAATTTTATTTGTTGGTTAAAAAAACTTGAAAATTTAATAGAAGACTCCTAGTATATTGTTTCAAAGGCAGATGAAAAATATTAAAAATCGTTAGTCACAGTTTTTTTTTATAAGCATTTAAAGTTCAAAAATTGACAAAATATGGAAAAATCACGAAAATTAGCAAATTATTTTGAGTTAAGAATTCGCAAAAATTTTTCTTTTTAAATCTAAGATTTGAAAATGTAATACAAGATTACTCATAAGTTTGTCTACCTTTATCAATAAAAAAATCTCTACCGGACAGTCAAATTAAATTTTTATGAGCGTTTGAAATTCAAATTTTTACAACATTGGATGTTCACTCGATTTCTCATGTAGCGATTTCCTTATTTTGTTGTAATTCATAAACGAATAACTATAGATATATGAAAATTTCACTGAATGTTTATATTAGCATTTCCTATACACCATACAATTTTGAAAATATTTTGACTCTTTTTGAGCTGTTTACGGACATTTTCAGTTTTCAATTTTTTTAGTTTTTTTTTTTATAATTGTCAAAAAAATTTTATTTGGTGGGCCAAAAAGTCTGAAAATTGAATACAAGCTTTCTTATATATTGTTACAATATCAGTTGAAAAATTTTAAAAATACATTGGCACGATTTTTTTTTATAAGCATTTAAAGTTGGAATTTTGACAAAATTTATCAAAATCTCGAAAATAATCAATCGTTGGAATTAAAAAATTATAAATTGTTCAGTTTTTATAACTAAGAGTTGTAAATTCAAAACAAAGATTCTCTTAAATAATTCATACTGTAACCAAAAAATCTAAAAAATATATAAACACACTTATTTTTTACAGACATTTTAATTTCAAGTTTAGACAAAATTTCATATTTAAACCAAGAATTACGATTTTAGTTATTTTGTTGTGATTGTATAATATTATTCGTGGGTACTTGAAATTTCTAAAGTAATCTACTATATATATCTATGATAGTATCAGGGTTTGTTGTTGGTGTATAACGCGTTATAAGTACCTAGAGAGCCTAGATAATATCTAGGCTCTCTATAAGTACCTAATGGATATTGTGATATGATTAATTTGGAATTCATTATAGGTCAATTTTTTTTAATACCATAGATATGTATATAATATGTCTTTTACCTAGAAGGACATACCGTCTCCGCTCAGAATCGTTTTTCTTATACAATGATATTATATCATTGAATTCAAATTTAATACCATCCATTATACAATGACCCACTTGTAACCTACTCTACAGCAGAGCGACACCCACTTGCCCACCTTTTTATATTTTTTTTTATTACAAAATGAACTACTTACTCCATACCTTGTTTTGAATTTTCAATCCTTAGCTATGGAAATTTAACATTTTATACATTTTTAACTACACAATAATTTGTATATTCTTAATTTGATATATATTCCAAAATTTGAACTTTAAATGCTCAGAGTGAGACGAAAAACCAAAATAAATTTTGCGTACGAATTCCCGTTTTTTCTTAATTTCTTTATTTTTTTCCCTTGCGCATTTGGAAATTACTTGAAACTAATTGAAAATTATTTTAAACGATGACCTCCCGAATGCAACAACTATATTCACTTTCCCATCGGAAAAGATACTGAAGTTAAAATTAAATCATTATTTTGACTACTTATCGTGTAGATACAAAATAAGATACACATTATTGTAAAATCAATACATTCTCATCGCTTTGCTCAAAATCTAAAAAAAGAAACAGTTTTTGATAAAATCAATTTTCTAATTTATGTAATTCAAAAATAATGAAAATGTACATAGGTACCTACTTGACATTTATATTACCATATTCTATATGTGGTTTAATTTTCAAAATAATTGCACTCTTTTTGAGTTATTTATAGGTAAGAATTTGACCTTTTAAATGTATTTATTTTTTTTTTTTTTTATAAATATTGTTAACAAAATGTTCACTTTGTCAAAAAGGTTGATCGATTTAATACGAAGTTTCTCCCATTTGATGTTATTATAGTCATTTTTAAATATTCAAGACAGTCACAATTTTTTTTACCGACATTTTAAGTATTATTATTACGAAATTAGATATTTAAACAAAGAATAACGATTTTAGTTAATTTACTAATAGTAAAATAAATTATTTTCAAATTTAGCACAGTATACATTACAGTGACTTATAGGTAGCTACTCTACAATGACGAGGTACACTCGAATACTCGACACTAACTGCACCTACTGTAGAACATTTACTCAGTAACCGGGAATTTATCAATTTATAAGTTTTTCATTTTTAATTGCTTGGTACCCTGGACCTAAAGTACAAAATATTTCGTTTTAGGCGCAACTGGTCCATGCCCTTTCATTCTACCGTATATTGTAACCGTATTTTAACCTTAAAATATTTTTTAGTTAAAAATCAATCTTTTTTGAATTACCTAATTAATATTTACTAAAGTTAAAATTTTACGTATTACTTTCTTATAAAGTATTTCTTACTATTTTTTCATCCCTAAAAATAATTGCCATAAATAGGTTAATCAATTACGATACCGTATTGCTGATATAACTGAACACCTAATTAATTGAATTATTTAAATATTATTCCTAATTCATATTTTCAGTTTTGTTGTGGTTCATAGTTTATAGCTGTAGTTATTTGTATAGTTAATTTTGTTGGACTTAAGTTGATATAAACATATCATTTTTTATTATTATACGAATAATAGCATATTAAAATGAGTGACAAAATAATTAAACTAAATGGTGTACCTACCTAGCTTCTAGATAATTAGTTCTAGAAAACAATATAAAAAATCAACTTTTTATTTCAAAAATGTCTCAATTAGAACATTAATTTATGAGTTTATGACAAAGAAACTCGAAAATTTCAGAAGTTGAATGAAATGTTGAGTGTTTGTAAGTTCTTGCAAACTTTTTGTTCAACAATTGTTTATTTAAGTAATTGTCGGTGGTTCAATTTGTAAAGGGATGGTGGAGATAATAGGATAAGCATCCAATAAGCTTTACGTATGACGTCAAAACTCTAAACACGTCTTTGATTCTAATAATACACCTCAAAAATATCGAAATATTCACTAAGCCTAGAAAAATATCGAATCAAATTAAAATTAAACATTGTATTAATAAGAGTACATAGATACTGATTTTTTCCACCTAGTTATTATGACAGTCAAAAATAAATTTTAAAAAGTACAAACATAGTTATACACGTATTATATATTATACTAAATTTATGTTGTCATATTATTATGCATTTGAGAATGCTGAATGATTATTAAAAAAAAAAGTGATTGAGGAAATGATTGAGTTCTGATGTTCATTATATTACATATTATTACATTTTCGAGGAAAACAAATGTATTTACAAATAGTTATTTATTTAAATCTAAAAAAATAATTGTATGTAGATCCTTATTAAATTTGAATATAAAGTGGCGTTATTGTTACGAATAATATGATGGTTTCGTAATAATAAAATATTGTGGTTGTTCGCGTGATTTAAAAAAAGTTATAATGGAAATGTCTACACAGTGTAAATATAATATGCTTCCAATCGAATGATATGATGGTATGACGCATTCAATTTTTGAACACATTTTTACTCACCCCAAAACTGCTAAATAAAAAAATATCATAAAACCTTAAACCAATAACTATTTTTCGCCCCCGTTCAGAATTTAAAATTATTCTTTGTAAGAAATGTTTTGGTTTTTTTTTCAATTCAAACCGTTATTTACTTATGATTTAGTTTTATCTAGAAAAAACATCGTCTGATGACAGTATAAACACAGGCACGCAAGCTGTATAATGTATAGGTACCCTAAACTCATAACTATTTGATATTTATCGGCTAATTTTTAATAATTTATAAATAGTTAGACGAAATTTTATCAGTCATATTACAGTATAAGATATAAAATATAATAATTAAACACTAAACGCATTACTTAGGTGTATACGATAATGAACACATTGTTAAGACTAATTACACTTGAGTTAGGTATGTACCTTTAATTTAACTTAACTTTAAGTATACATTATTATTACCTAATAAAAGCTAACTTAGAAAAAATCAATGTTAATTTCATAAGTACTTGGTGTTCTTATAACTTATAAAAATGTTTTCATTTTAGTTATACTGAATAAACCAGTCAAAGATAGTACCTAATCTAATATAGTAATGTAAAAAAAGACTTGTGTTCTAAACTCTTAAAAATATTATTTATCTGTATTTGTTTCATGATACTAATCACATTAATTTGATGTTTCACAGAAAGCACGGCTGGCTAGGATAAGGATAGCAAAGGCCTCTTCGGGTGCTGCATTTGTGAGCAAAAAAAAAGCGGCTGAAGCCAGGATGGCGGCTCAAGAATCTGGGCTAGAGCTTGATGAAAATTACAGAGAAGAAGACATATTTGAACTGCAGCATCATCATTTGCTTCGATGTTTGGAAAAAACGACTGTAAGTAAATTTAATAGTGTTTTAATATACTTTTTCCTTTACTCCTCCTCTCCACTCATTCATTCTTTTTACATTTTTCCTATACACAGATGAGTTTGTTTGTCTTACGTAAATACCATAAAAAAAGATTATTTTTTTTTAAGATAAATCTATTATTCAATGCATTTTAATTGCTTTTTTAAATATATAAGACCAATAGTAATAGATTTTTAAAAAAAAACCTAAAGGAAATAAATATTTTTTCGTTTAAGTATTAAAATAATTTAAAATTAAATCTTCTTTATACCTTCTGATTATATGTATACATTTTATTCTCAATTGTTTTTAAAACTAAAATATACAAATACTTAATTTATGATAATTGAGTTACATAAGTTGTTCAATTAAAACTATTATTGAACAAATATTTTTGATAAATACATCCATCATTATTATTTTATGCCAAAACTCCAAATTGACATTAAACTTAAAGTTGATTAAGACGTTTATGTCTGTTATCAGACAACTTCAAATATTAAAAATCATGGTATCTAAACATTTTGCGATCATAACCAAATTGTTGTTTTTATTAATATAATAAAATCTGTAGAAACTATTCCATTTAGTGATTGTCATTTCAGTGATGAAAAAGTATAATTTTTAAATTTTATTTTATCCAAAAATTTTATTCATCTATACTTTTGACTTCTATGTTGTATACATGCATTAAAGTACCAGTATTGTCTTGTCAAAATAATGAAAAGTTAACAAGAATAATTACCGAACGAAAATTACTCTCACAACTTATAAAGATTAAAGAAAAATAAGTAAATTAAAAGATAATTACATTTCCCTCCATCGCATATTGTTCTAAGTTGTATAGGTCGTATGGATTGTCATTGAGTATAAAGCCACAACTATACTGTGTTCATAGTTGTCTTTGACAAAATACAATAAGGAACAACAAAGGTTTTCATCCACAAAGTTTATTTTGAAACTTAAATATTACATTATTATTACATTATTACCTACGTTGATTTAAAACAAAGAAAATGTAACTTTAGGTAAATAATGTTTTAAGATATTATTTAAAACGCTTATAAAGATAAATATAAAATGATATCTAAATAAAATTGCATAAGAAATATAATATTTAGCAAATTAAATATCTAAAAATGAAAAGTACTCAAATTAACCTTTTTATCTTGCGTTTTATGTCTTACATAAAACTATAACATGAACCTATGTGAAAACATTCTGCAAATAGCTCTCTGTAGTAGGTAGATACACATCTATTATATGTTTATAATTTTGTAATTACAGTAGTACATTAAGTTTTTTTTTTAACTAATGTACTAAATAACTGAAGATTGTTTAAAGAATAACTCACTGTTTTTTATATTAATACCTACTCTATAATCAATAATCCAGATAATTAGTCGTAATATGTACAAACATGTAAATAACTAATTGTTTGATTGAAATTAACTAGGAATTTCTGCATCCTGAAATAATAATTGTATTATTATGGTAGGCTTATAAAGGATTATGGTAGGTAGATAATATCTTTCAGGACTTATTATCCATGAATGTTGTATTATAGAAGCATATATAACTAAATTAATTGTAACTAAAACGCATACACATTAAACGTATATTATGCCATTAATGATATATTGATAAATGATATGACATTAATCTATGCCTCGTATAATTTACGAAAAGTTCTCATTTTCTCAATATCAGTTCAAGCCGTAAAAATAAACAATTTCATTAATGAATCGGCACACATTTTTGTTATCTGACACTCTCGTCCCTACGACATAAATTTTGATCATGAAAGTTCAAATTACCAATGACGATTCATTTCATAATTTAAGATGCTCATTCTACTGTACAAAATTATATGATTTCCCTGAAGATATTTTCAAAACGAAAATATCTTTTTACGAAATACTGCATATTTTGTATACTTTCCAAAAATCCAAAATAAATAACAATACTTTATAATAAATTACCCATGTAGGTACAATGGTACGTTTAATTTTGTAAACAACGTAATAAAGTAGTATTGTTTTAAAATAAATCAAAAATACAATTTATCTAATTCGTATTTGTACGTTTTTATTATGAAAAAAAATATGCAAGGTCATAAACGGCTTATTTGTTACTATCCAGTCTGACAATAATTGTATAAAATGCGAAGTAAAATCTATTTTTATTCTACTTTTTATTTGATTATATGTGTTGGTTGAGCCATGTTCCAGCTATTTTATAGCAATGTTTATTTAGGATTCTAAAGGTTATGGCTGTAGGTATGTGTGGGTTATACAGTGGAATAACAACTGTTATTAATGATTAACATCATCACCATGACTATCAGTTTGTTTTTCTTGAATTAAGTACCCATACCTATGGTTTTAACATCTGTTATACCTACCATAAATAATAATATTTAGCTAAAGATAATTTATAAAAATATGAAATATATAAATTATTTAGACTTTGTTATACTTCAATCATCTGTTGTTTAAACTACATAAATAATATCATTAAACAACCTTAATTATCTGCAACTACCTACCCAATTACTAAAAATAACAATAATACGTTTGAAAAAATTTAAAAATTTAAAAAACGTCATATAAAAATTGATACAGAATAAATATCATGTAGGTATACTCGTTCCTAGCGGTCTTTGATATTTGTAGGTATATAATATAAATAGGCATTAAAACACTTTAAATTCAATGATAAATTTTAGTACTTATAAGAAAAAACAATTCTGAGTGAAGTTTGGTAATTATACCTACTGCTCGGATTTAAAAATATTCTAGTAAATATATATAAACTTTTTTATAATAAAGCCTAAAGTTACAAATTCAATAAAAAAAAACCAAAAAATAAATTATACAATTTTTTAAAAAAATGTCTGCCTTTTTAACATTGTTATGTTATATGTAATACATATTATGTTGGTTTACGATTTCAGAGATTCTTTAATTATAATGGTCAACAAAACATTCCAACATTTCAATAATTCAAATTATATCCACATTCCACACAGCATTTGGGAAATGATAATGTTTTGTGAATATTTTGGAGTGCTTGAATAATGAATATTTGACTAATTATATTGTATAAATATTTTATTCTCATGATAACAAAATATTGGACTATATGGTATATTTTGACAACTATATTGTCTTCTTGAAAATATTTCTACCATAGTTTTGAAATATTAAAATTCTGTGTAGGATATAGTAATATAAATTTTATAAATTGTGATCTAAAAAAGATTTAAAAATGTTACAAATTGAAATATAAAAGCACGTGGAACTTTTAATCACTGTTCTATTAATAAAAAAAAATAGGTACCATAATTATACAACCAACATAAGAAATACCATAGCTTCACTCTAAATCTAAAACGTAAAGTAAGTACCTAAGTATGTAGTTAAAACGTTTTTAAACTTAATAGTTGTCATCAGTAGGAACATATTTTTAAGTTTTACTTAAGTATCTCATAATTACGAATAAAAGACTATATTTATACAACATAATGCAAAATATATCTATAACGTTAAAGAATCAACATATTTTCCAATTTCTCGATATTTTCTTAGTAGGGTGTGACAATTATAGAAATTAAAATATTTTATTCAACGTAAATTATTAGGCCTTTTTTTTAATATGAAAACAATAACTAACGATTATGCATATTAACTAATAAACCTCTGTCCCTTTCTTTTTCTGTATTAAATTTACAATATAGGAAATATCGTAGTCTTACGAACATTTCCTTCTTATTTTCTAAGACTATTGATATTTTTCAATACTTTTATGTGAGTACCATCTGTTTCCAATTGTCGATTTCAAATTTACAGAGTATACATGAAACTTTAAAGGACTTTTATTGCTTCAAATACCCACAAAAACCAACATCTTCCTTAATCCTTATTCCCCTTTAAATCTAAACTCCTAATATTATATTATATTTATTTATTAATACTTGGCAGTTTTTATTATTATTATTTTTTTAAGATACAAACTTTTTTTTTAAATTGTGTCAAGAGAATATAAAGAAATTTTTAAATAATTTTTAATAATATTTAAATTATATATCATGGGCTTGCTACCATGCCTTGGGCAGTGCTTTAATGCCACCTCTTTGTTTTGTTTATATCAATATTAAAAATAATAGGACAGTTTTTAACATTAGCATTATTAATATGCTACTGCATTTAACTAGTCTAAGGCCTTTTAAATTTAAAAAAAATAAGTACTATTAAGAAAATGTATCCACAAAAAATTGACTCCTGAAACATAATTTGTAATAAATTTGTAAGATGATCCCGTACTATTCGGCTATTCCATATACATATTTACTACCTAATTCTTAATTATTATACAATAATTATTATTTTTTTTAAATGATTCTATATTATCATTATACCAAATTTATTATTAAAAACTACAATTACTATACTATTCAGGTACTTATACAAAGATCACTTTTAATAAAAATTAATTTTGTATTTGATTATCAGTTAAAAATAAATTTTAGCAATAAAAAATGCTTGAGCTTTTAATTTTATAAGTTATTACAATTAAATGTTCTAATTACCTAGGTATTTAAAGTTTATAGTCCCGTCATAGATATGCAACATTTTACTTCATAGCCAAATAATATGTAAGTAATCCGGATATTCTTATATTTATATTTTAAAAGGAGCATTATAATATTTAAAAAAAACTAGTTTTGCCCCATGATAGCATATTAGAATTTATTTTGGACTTGCTATAATCAGCTATATTTAATGATTTTACTAACTAATTTAGTAGCTTGCCATCTGTGTTTTTTCTGTTTTCTAATGTTTGTTGAATAACCTAAAAACTTTCAGTTCGTGTGCTTCAAGCTTGGTGTGTCAGCGAAACTATACAGTATACTGTATAATATAATACAATGATTCTAAAAAACATACCCAGCACTTTTGTACATTGACAGCTTAAATATATTGAATACAGTTTTTATTTAAAACATGAATGGATAAGATTCTTAACTTGCTTATTATATAATATAGTTACGAACAAAATCCACGGGCTTACAATATTATGAAAACAATAACATTTGAAATTAATAAAAAAAAAAACAAAGACTGCATCCAATCAAAATTGCTATCAAAGTTTCAAAGTTACCGACATAAAAAAGATTGAATTTATTGTTATATGTATTTTTTTATGACTACAGCGTACCTATACACTTTTGGATAGAAGAAGTAAGACTCGACTAGTTTAATTTAGCCCCCTATCGATTGGAATTTGCACTGATGGTTTTTTAAACAGGTCTTTCTATGAATTACGACGAACTTAAACTATTTGGATCTTCAAATATTATAAAACTTTAAATCTTGTAAATTAGCTATTAAATGTTCTATCATAAAAAAACTCGCTTATACATCATAATGCCTAATCATCATTAATATTATAAAAAAAAATTATAGGTTTATATATAATGCAATTTTAATAATAGAAAATACTGTTTAATTAAACTAGATTACAAAGAACAAAAACGAGTAAAATGTATTTATTGACTTTAGGTAACGTAATTTTATGTAAACTGAACATATGAATAGGAATCATTAATCAGGTCAATTTATAATTTTATTAATAATTGTATATTATTGAGAATTTACATTTAGAATGGTTTTTATTCATGTTTCACATAACAGTTGTGTAATTAGTCAATTTATTAACAGTAGTTTTTTTGCACAATTCGTGGGATTAGCTGATGGTTTGTTAATTTCGTAAACTGAGCAGATGTTTAATGTTTCATAGTTCACAATTCTGGCGAATATATTAACAGCGATATGAAATATCTAGATAAAATTATTTTTCTTTCATCTTATTAATACATTTCACTTCAGACGTCCTTATCTCAATCAAGATAAAAAGAAAAGGTATTTAGGATTATAATTAAAAAGCTTAAAAAATGATTGAGTGCCCTCACAAATGTTGAGGAACAAGTCGCTGATAACACAAGTAACGTCTTTTATGGTTTTATAAAAAAAAAAAAAAGGCTAAGATATTGTGTGATCTTAACTCGGTCCGTCGTGTTATTGTTGTTAAATATGCTACGTAATCAAAATATTTGTTCATTTTGTACAAATATTTTTTCTATATTGTCTTTACTTTTAAATCGTGTAAATAATATCTTTATCTTTAGTTATATAATATAAATAATTAAAGATACACGTATTATGCAATGTATTTAGGTGTTGGTTGAACACTTTCCGACATTAAATTATGTTAAGTCTCTTGTTCCTGAGAGTGTGAAAATCACATGGTTTTAGTTATAAGTACCTATTAACAATTTAACAATTACAAATTCATTGGTTTTTACATTATTTCTAACAGTTACCAACTTTTATTATTAAAATTGTTTAGTACACTTTAATTACTTATTGTCCTCTCCCCCCATATAATGTAATTAACAAAGTATGCCTAATGTCCTTAAATTTATTTAATTTTAGAACTTCCACTCCTCTATTTCTTCTATTAATTATAAGAAACTAAATACACTACGTACAAACTTCTATTGCACCTATATAGAATATTGGATTAGGTGCTACAAGAGCTTTAATATTTAAATTCGAACACCCTTTTACAATCGTTGTAATATATAATACTGAAAATTCATTTCGTACAAAAGTTTATTAATACCTACATAAATATTAATGTTGTAAAAACGTCACCCATATACAGTACCTATATTATACAGAGTCCACCACAGGAAACGCATGGTTTTTCAATAAGAGTTACACAGAAAGTGCATTTATTATGTTTGGAAAATCGCATTGTGGAGACTGGAGACGTTGACGGTTCTCTGGTATTTATGTTTGCCGCGGGCGGGAGCTCCCTATATAAAGCTGTGAACTGTGTTAACCATGCATCTGCTGCGGGCAGTGGCGTATTTAGGTTTTTGTTTTGGGGAGGGATATGATTTTATCTAGTAGCCCTGTCTTTCAAGTTAGAGGCCTTAAGTTAGAACTCCGAAAACGTTTGCATATTATGTACAGCCTATGGAGGGATTGATCCCCTTGACCCCCCCCACCGTAAATACGCCACTGGCTGCGTGATTTTGTTAACTTCGTTGTTCTCAATAATTTTCTTTAACAGTTTTTACACATAGCTGAAGTGAGAGTCACGTATAGATACCCTTATAAAAAAAACGGCCACTCATCAACAGATCAGGGGAACGGGCCCGCCAGTGGAATACCACCTCACTGCAAACGCACTCTGTACAATGACTCCAACACCATGATAGTGATTAATATGTCATTACTGTATCAATCGAATAAAACTACACCAGAGCTGAGAATAGATAACTGAAACATCGTGAGGTGGACATAGTTACCTAGGGGGATTAACACTTTTACTTATTTCCAGATAAAATTAAAAAGATTTCACTTTTATAATAATTGTATCCAGATAATAAATCTTAAATCTTAAAATGGTAAAACCTAACACCGTCAGTATCGCCATTAGTAAATCACGTATCACGTGTAAATTTAAAGATTCTTACTAAGAACTATTCATTTTCGAATTACGAAAAAATAACAAAACTACTAGAAAACGAATCATCACAGTGTAAAATATAAAAAAACTTTAAATATAAAGTTGGCCGCACAATGTGAAATTTTAGGCTCCAAATTTTGTCAATAGTTTGTAAGTCATTTCTAAGTTTACGTAAGCACAAATTGGTAATTTGTAAGTACAGCCGTTTTCAATTATAATCAAAAGTTTAAAGTTTTAAATTAATAATATGCCAGACGATTTGGAAAAGTCAAAGTTCAAAAAGCTCAATAAAGCACAACCAACTTCTTTTTAAGGATAATTCAGGGGGGGATGACTTAGAAATTTTAAATTCGTGCTTACAAATACTTACAAATTGTCAACGAAATTTTGGCATAGTCAAAAATTTTGAAATTCCAAAACGACCAAGTCCCTCGGAAGTTAGCCGTGATTTAAACTTTTGAGGATAATTGAAAACTGCTGTAGGTACTAACAAATTACCAATTTGTGCTTAAACTTAATAAAAATAAACTTACAAATGGCTAACAAATTATTGACAAAATTTGGAGCCAACATTTTCACACTGTGAGGCCAACTTCAAGGACCTGATTTTACATTGTGATGATTCATTTTCTAATAGTTTTTTTTTACACGTTTATCTAAAAAGTTCAAAATTCGTATAATTACGTTTAAAAAGTACCGACTAAATATATAACAATTTCTAGTAAAAAACGGGTACATGTAGTCTTCTGTAACAAAAATGTATAATAAAAAATACCTAATATTATTCATGAGAAATAAATATTTTATTGCTGTGGCTTCTGCGTGGTTTAAATTAAATTTGTCTACCTAGCTATACATAAGGATATGGTTACCCTAGATAACCATTAGAATATTAGATAAATTGCACAATATTAAGTTATCTATACAAGATAATAGATGAGTAATTTTTTATCCAAATAAGTATTGACACTATAATCACTAGTTCACTACCCACTCCAACAACCAGTACCACAGTAATAGTCGATTGAAAACCATGCGTTTCCCATTAAAACCCTGTACTTACCACTATACCTATATAGGGTATATTATACACTATACAGTGTACAACCTTACACTTTGCATAGCTATTGTATAATTTTTCATCAATGATTGCCCCTACAATCTATACTGAAGAATAATAATTATGGTCACAGGATAGAGTTTCTACAGCAAATTAAAATGTTCTAACTAACAACATTTATTCTTCGATTTTTTTTTATTATTATTTATTAATTACCTATATTATTCTATATTCAAATAATAGTAATAATACTGACAATGATTTTAACACCTGAAATTTATATTAAATTAATACAATACGCTTTTCTGAAGATGCATAGAAATATACATTTTTACCATGGAATTTAATTTTAATTTTAATCACTACATTTAAAAAAAGAAAAGAATATTTTTTCAAACATATTACAATATAATATATAGATACATTTAGTATTTACAAATTATACTAATACGTTTACATCGTATTAATAAACTTTCATAGTATATACATAATCTACATCATCTTGTTTCATAAATTATACATGTTGACCCTTACAACTTATATTATATTTTATACAAAAAGAAAATATATTTTTTTAAGTTTTTAGATTCTAAATTATATTTATAATAAATTGAGAATACTTATAAAATTGAAGTACTCTATTTTCAATATTTTTATGTGCCTGACAAATAGTAGTAAACTGTAAAAAACAATATTATATAAATGAGTTTAACTTGTGTATACAATACAATTCTTTGATAACTAATTATAACAAAATATAATTCTGTATGTTATAACTAGGTATTTAATCATACTTGCAATATTCATACCTACTCGATATTTCTCTATTATTATTCTTCTATTGTACCTATTCTTTTAGTCATCGATTTTTTTTTTTCACTTAAGAAATTATTTTTAGAATTAATTTTTTTTTTATGTTAGGATAGAGAGTTTGTGGAGCTCGAAGTGCCATATAATGGTCAATCAAAAAGGCCATGCTCACCGTCTCCCCTACTGAGCCCTAGCCATTCGGCATTAAGCAGGGTGAACTTCTTAAGCTCATGCTGTACAAGATGCTGTAATCAACGGTATCAGGTTTGATAGTTTCTATTTCATTAATACTAGGTAAATCTATAGTAAAAAATTCATTTGAATGTCGATGATCGTTAAAAAAGTAGAATTATTTACATTTTTAGATACTATACTTCATTTTTTACAATTTATCAAATTAGTTTAAACTAGAGGTTCCCAAACTGCTGGTCACGTAAAATGTTCATGTTTATGTTTTTAAATATAATAATTAAAATATTAAATAATTATAAAATATATAGTTATGTATATTTAAATAATAAATAATTTAAAAAAAAATAACATAATGGAAATCGAAAAATCTATAAATAAATGCCTACACCATTCACATTAAACTAATAAATATTATATTTTAATTAAAAAAATTATACTTTTTACAATTTTATGATTAAGTATAATATAAATTATGAATTATATATTTATCAAAAAAAAAAAATTCATTTATATTTTGGTGGGTCGCCAACATTTAAAAATGTTTTCAAATTGGGCCGTACCGTGAAAAGTTTGGGAAACTATGGTTTGGACGACAGTGCACAACACACATGCTATTTGATTATCTATGCTGTGTTAGAAATTCCTAGTGAATAAAATATAAATATACGAGTAGGTATATTTGTAGACAGTATACACTTTATCGCATAACATAAAATAATATACAAAATCCAATGGTATATACGTTGTTATGAATAGGTAGGTACATACTTAGTAATGAATTACAGCAGATAACGTAGATTTTAATATGTTATTATATTTAGTTAAAGTATAATATTGTAATTAGTAGTATTTTTCTGAAAAAAATTTAAGTAGTAAAATTTTGTAGAGCTGAATAATTATACTTTTTTGGGCCTAATTAATTATTCATAAATTTAGGTACTTATAAAAAATGTTTGCATGTTTTAAATAATATCTTATAATACATAGCTTATAGAAATTAAAAAAATATATAGTTAGTATTTTTATACTTGTATATTTAATTTATGATTAACCAAAAATAGGTACTCAAAGTCACATTTTAGTAAGATTATTTTTATTTTTAAGACATCGATGAACGATTTGACTAACGTCCAAAACGTTTAAAAAAATTATTCACTTTTTTTATCTTATTAACTTTTTCAAATTATATGTAGTAAAAAAAAAAAATAATCTACGTATAGTAAAAATTATTTTTGTAATAAGAGCCTTAAATAAATTTAAAAAAAAAAAAAATACAATCATAGTCTTAGACATTTTAGTTTACGAAGAGTGATTAATATTAACAATATACATATAAACCAAAAACTATTATTGAATAAAAGTAAAAAAAAGTATTTTGATGTTTTATTATTTGGAAACAGTGTAATTTCATTAGAAATAAGGCTTTGTAAACTAATAATTAAATTGTTGTAAATACTAAATGGGTAGGAGGTACCAGTGATGATTATATCATCACAGTATAATAAAATACAAAATCAGAAATAATGAATAGCAATAACTTGACGTTATTTATGAATTTAACTTACTTATGACTTAATACATTTGTAACTGCCGTGTAGTTATGACTTACGGCAATAAATAAAAACGTAAATGAAATTAACATAAAATACCATTACACAAACTACCTATTAAATATTATAGGTAATCATCTTTCATACGATGTAATTTAAGCATACATTTTTCCTACTGTTGATTACTTCACATTATACATTCTTAGACTGTACATAGATGTTGATTTTGTTGTTTTCCATATCATGTTTAGAAATGTACATGCAAAGATACAACATGAAGCTACATATTATAATGTAAATAGCCTACATACATGTTATTAATGTAGGTATTCCTACGATAAAGGTTATTATATTCTATAACCACTCTAATTAAAAACGACGTTCAGTATTGTACAGGAGAAAATGCTTTCGAAAAAATATATTTATAACGTCATACTGCAAGTAATACCTATTTTTAATATGTGAAAAAAAACCAAAGGGCCTCCCTACATTAATTGTCGTAGTAATAATATTATTTGCACATCATATACTGACAATCTGCATACGACGAGAAAATTCGGATTAAAACGAAACAGCCCTTCGCACGGCGTGACTTCGGGACCGGCGTGAAGTTATAATATTATTTGTACTGTAGCTCAAGTTAAAAAGTGTGGCGAGTATATTATTATTTTTTCGACGGTGGAAAAAAAAAGGTCACGAACAAAACCTGGGAGAGGCCCGCGGTATAACGCGGACATGATATAAGAGTTGTCGTTGACAAGCGAATAATATATAAGACCGCTCTCGTTTATATAATACATATATACCTCCATAGACGTGCACAGGTGTTGGCGTAATTACGGGTATGCATTAGCAGACCCGTCGAGTTGTGTATATATTATTATTATTATTATAAACGTGCGGCGGAATCTTAACTTTTGACTTGCCAACAATATCGCGCAAAAAAAAAATAAAAAAAATACCGACTCCGATCCCTCCGCGAAAAGGGCCGATCGATTCGTGTGTTATGATATATATTATATATTATGTAATTTAATAAGTACACCTATATGTTATTGTACTGTACACATTGTGTATAGTATCCGCAACGATCGGAAAAAATCGAATTGTCGATTTGCTAGACACGATATTTATTTAAGAACTCTGAACTGCACCGCGGTATAATAATATAATATATAGGCATATAAAAAAAAATAGACATCTCGCCGCTGTTCGTTTGGCACCCGCCCTGAAACCGATAATAATATATAGTGACGTTTTGTCCCGCCCTTGGTGCAGCCTATACCCGTAATAAATTACCGATAAGTACCTCTATCCATTCCGAACATTATAATTCTTTTCAGTTTAATATTTTGATCCGGAAATTCGAAATCGTTCAAACAAATAATATTTTCAACTTACTCGTGCGTATAAAATATGATGACGTGGTTTGTAATTTACAGTAACAGCCTATACACAGGTACCTACATAATATAACATAATTCGGTTACCTACTTATTTCAATTTCAACGTGGACCAAGCCAATAATAGTATTACGCGGCCTATAACTAATGCGGATGCATGAATATGTGTATGTCAAGCGTGTTCAAACGAAAATACAATTTAGTGACCAGAATTGTAGCCATAATTAATATATATATATATATATATATATCAGATACGTTTGGTGTCGAATTGTATAAATTATAAAATACCATGCGCTTAAATATTTTTGTTCAGTATTTCGTACGATTATTAATACTTTATCGTGTAGATGATAATATAGTGTTTATTACTATATGTTTGATAATTATTGTTGGTAGATCAGTAGATGCACGCTATAATATGACACCCGGTACAAAATCCACGGTATCATACTTATTATTATCCACGTCGTACCAGTGGTACTTATAAATAAATATTTATTATGTGGTATTTAACACGGTCGGATCGCGTATTGATGTTTCAGAAGCACAAGCGAGAGAGCTCGCCGGACTCGATAGGCGAACCCATCAACGAGGAGGAGCTGATCGAGGTGCAGATGAAGCAGCGTCACACGTCGGTGGCCGCGGCGCCCGGCGGCGGCAAGTCGAGCAACTCACTCGACTACAACAGTTGCGACATGCCGTCCGCGTCGGCGGGCCACAAGTCGTCGGCCGCGGGGTCGCCGTCCTCGGCGTCCGCTTCGGCGGCCGCGACCACTGCGGTGGCCGGAAGCAGTAGCGGCGCCGCTGGCGGTGGCAGCGGAGCAGCCGGCGGATCCACTTCCGTCATGTCCGTGCAGGGCTGCAACAACCCCAACTCGAGCACGTCGTCCGTCGTCGTCAACCTGCCCACGTCCTATCCAAACTCGGAAATGGACTACGGGTCGGCCTCGTACCCGCCGTCCCCGTCGCTGTCCTCCAACAACGACAAGCCGCAAGTACGCATCACGTTCCTCTAGCCGCCGTCCGACTCCGAACCATAATATAATATTTATTGTTACACAACTGTTCCATTTCGTTTTTGCAGTTTTGCGCGTGTCGTATCGTTTGTTTGTCGCATAGACTAATTCTGTCATTACTATAATATTATATTATTATAGTGAATTTTACGATGACGTATAATAATCTTAATAACAATAATCGCGATTATTAATATCATTATTATTATTGTTATCGATACTACCGTTGTTACTACTATGTTTATATTATACACCTGGCTAACCCTAAGTATATTATGATAGGTGTGTCCCCCAAGTCGTTAGTCCGGCCTGCAGTCCCGTCGAGGGCTCGCACGTGTCTCGTAAATTGCAGTTTTGGTGTGCCTATGTCCTATATTATATGCCTAATTCGTCGACACCATCACAGCCGCCGGGATAATAATACGATACTACTCGATTTGAGGTATAGATACTGTTCGGACGTGTATTATGATTGTGGACACCCCGTAAAGCTCCGGTCGCGCGATTGTGTGATTTCCGATCGAAATTTGAAAATAGTATATTAAAATTTTCCCAAACACACACACACACACGTATATTGTTCAATAACTACGTCGTTACGATGACGTGAATGACGACGACTGTCGACTATAATGATGATAATGTGCCGGGGCTTTTGCGGAGGTATGATTCGCGTGACACTTTAATCATTTTTAAAAACATATTGGGCTTCACATATTTTAATCTGTATTTTCTTTCTGTATGATAGTCGAAATATAATAATTTATGTTAGGTAATATTTCCTTAATAGGAGAAAAAACTGTGTGACGCCATTGCTTTTTGTGTACCTAGTAGCTACCTACGCTCGTCATAAATTCTATCCAGTCAACACTCAACACCCAAGCAGGTGAACAACGGTTTGTCGCTTCAAGTCACTCATGGCGCCAACGGGAAAACCACCCCCCTCCACACACCCACACCCATCCACTAACGAGTATATACCCACTGACTATAATACTGTCCTTTCAGCGTATAACAACAGTGATTATAATAATACGGCTTGTGTGCGAACCGAATAATGAATACTCCTAACACGTAGGGATAATATATATAATTATTAGGTACCTACGTGCGGGATACAGTGTGGTCTGGTCGAACTTGGTCCCAGTCACATCAACAATTCCCGTTCGCTCTGTGTGTGTGCAATTTTAATCGAGTAAAGTCCGAGTGGGGCTGATGGTGTGGAGGGTTTAAAATAATAATGCGTCGACTAACAGCTGAAACCCGTCGACGGGCTGCTCCGTGTCATTATACATATTTAATCGTTATTTGGGCCTGTTCAAAAACATATACACCATATTCTAACAAACAACTTTTCAAAAATTATAATCGGGAGAAATCGATGATTTCATATTCAAACAAACGACCGTTCGGTAATCGAAGTGATTTTCATTCAAAACTATGAAAAAAAACTACAAAAATGCACACAAACAAAACGCACTATTAATTGTTATCATGCCTCAGTTCGAAATGTCTCCACTGGTATAGTAAAAATCTTTAATAACGTTTTCAACCTGTAGAGGTATCAGTGTACCTACTGTACCGTGTCTCGCATTCCCTCGTCCGATTATTTTGTGAGAAAATCGTGAAAAAAATAAGCTAAATTTAAAAACCAACAATAACGCAATAATTGGTTGGTAAACGAATTTTAAAATTTGTCAAATACGATCTGTTCGTATTTTTCAGTTACATTACTCAAAATGTGCATAACCGATTTTATATTTATCTGCCTCAGACTTTACTGCCTTGACGGCATAATACCAGAATAATTTGATTTGTCTTTCCATTCCGCCACTTATTCAATCAGTCCTCGCGCTCCTTGCCGCGATACAAGTCTTGTAGATAGATGCCCACCCACCTATATAGTAAACTCTCACAATTGCACCAAGTATATTGAAAAGGTGTAGACACTTTTAACTGTTATTGTGTAACGTGTAATAGGTATACTCAAAGGTATAATATGCATTATGCGCATTCCAATGAGCACGCGTTCATAAACCAACCAAGTCCGAGTCATAAATCATAATACTATGCAACAGTATATAAGGTGTAAATAATTATAATTTTCTGTAAAGTGTAATTTAAAAGCTAGTTTCCAAGTCAAGGTGGGTGACACGATGGGTTTTGTTAAAGTTATTTCAGAGGTTGGCCAGAGAATGTAAAGTGCTACACGCCCGTATATGTAAAGTCGTATGAGCTTTCGAGAAAGGAGGCACCTCTGATTTTAATTTTCAAAGTACCTACCTAGATTTTCTCAAGAGCATAAAATTACATAGGTACTTTATAAATTATGAACTTTGAACATTTTTTTTTTAATCTGATACATTTAATCGTGGGTCTATAGTTATGTGGTTCTAAATCGATGTTTTCGAAAATGCACATTTTTAAACTAATTGTTTTTAAAATTAATTAGTAGGTACTTCTTTGGTATTTTGTAGCTTAGAAAATTGTTTCCTGTAAATTGTAAAAGTGTTTTCAACTACAAACTATTAATCAATTATAGATTAGGTACCCACATACTTTAAAGTCTTAAGTCGTTGAACAATCAGCTTACGTTTTATATACCTACTTACTTACATTTTCGATCTTTTATTAAAAATAAAATGATAAATAGGTACCAATAGGTACTAAATAATAGTATTATAGCATGGTTATTTTCAGTGACGCCAAAATGTCGGTAGGATCTAAAATATAACTGATCAGAAATAATATTTATTTTTTAAATTTTTATTAAGACCTTAACTCTTACGTGTTGAATGTGTAGTGATATATTTTTTTAAATATTGATGACTTCAAAAACATAACAAGTAATCTAAACTAAATTAAACTTGTTATAAAATGTTTTTTTACAAACGTGATTATATTTTTTTTTAGATTTGAGTATATAGTCTATATCGTTTAACATGCAGAGGAATTATTTTTCACCGTCCATTTTTGAAATTTACATCGTATAAATTATAATTATAATTTCTTCGGGGCTTGTGTGGATAAGCTGATCTAACAAGACCTGGAATACTAACTCGAGTAGGGAGTGTATATAAACTAAAAACGACATGTTTCTTCAATACCTAATGGTATATTGTAAGAAAATTTATATTTGTAAAAATAGTATCTACTACCTACCTATGTATGATCAATTTTTAAAACTGCTCTTCTGAAAATCGATTTAGAACCCTTTTTATATTTTTTATACTTGACCCACGAAATGTTATTGACTCGAGTGAAAAATTGGGACGAATTCCAAAACAATGTGGTGTACTGGCACGTCGCCCTCGATGTGCATATTTTAATTTACTTTACTTATCCTATATAACACCTGTTCTCGCCAAGGACTCTGGGCACCAGTTTTATTATATTTCAGTTACATTACTAGGCTGTCCATATTTTGTAAATATATTATGATTATTGTTTTTTTTTTATTACTTTATTTATAAATTAAATTATTACGACTAAGTGAGAAATTCAACGTCGATTTAATACAAACTATCAATTATCTTTATTATAGATCCTGAGCGGGAGCAAAGAAGCTATTAGTTTTACAACTATGTGGGTTTTTTTTCGAAAAACACTTTCTTTTTTTTTTCAAGACTATAAATTGCATGTATGTTTATTATTTATCGATTTGACCCAAATGGTATTTTGGGTTTGTCAAAAGTGAAAAATTCCCAAGAAATTTTTTAGAAAATTGCGAAAGACTGCAAAAGCATCATTCGACCTATTTGTTCTCGACATTATTAAAGCATATATTTACTATTATAATATTTTGATCATACCTACCGATAGCTGTTCCTATATTATAATATATTCACCAAACTTTTGTAATATATATTTATAATATACCTACATTCAAACCTAATAAATATTATTAATTTTACGATAAGTCTGTACAGTTGTCATATTATAACTACAATATATAATAAATAATAGGTCCACAATAAAATGTTTATTTCATAATTATAATATCTTAATTGAGAATAGTATAAAACATTTTCGTCGATTATAGAATCAACAAATTACTCAAATTTTGTGATTAAAATAAATTGTAATTATTTAATATTAGTTAGGTATATCGTATAATATGAAATGTGTTTAAAATATAATCTTATGTAACATAATAATATAATACATGCTCTACTTTTTGTACGTATTAGACATTTTTCCCTGAACACATAGGTCAAAATGATGGTTATAACTTATATTAATAATTATTAAATGTCAATAAAATATGTCTCAATAATGACAAATTAAAAACACCATGTTTTGATCATATCGAACAGTAATATTAGAGGTATATTTATTTTTAATTAGTGGCTAATTTATTGCTAAAAAAAATTTACACAAATGTGTAAAAAAAAACCAAAAAAACTACCTATTTCTAAAGAAAATGAAACAGTTTGCGTGGCAAAACACTTATAATACGAATTGATATAGAATAACACAATCATTATATTATTAGAATAAAATATAACGACGCTACGTAACAATTTAATTGGATCCCAAACTCTAAACGATCTTTTTAAACATCTATAATTGTGCCGAAGCATGTCTGTAGTAGATTAAAATAAGCGTTTAAATGAAAATATTCTAAATCTCTTTTTTTTTTTTTTTAAATTATTATTATTGGTATTGAACGTAACGTCTGTCTGTCCATATCTACGAGTTTGTTGTACGATATATTTGAGTCTTCTAGATCTTAAAAGGGTCACTATTATATATATTATATATTATTATATTGTATGAAATTCAATTAAACCATCAAAATAAATACAATACTATTCATAACAAACACTTTATATCATATATATCATAATAATTGTCATCGTTCTTGTTTAAAATCGTTAGTTTTTTCTTATTAGTATTTTTTATTACTTGCGCTAACTCTCGGGTAGATAAAAATATATATTAATATGAATAATACTTAAAATTAATGTATTATAGATAGATACTATTTAGCCATAGAT